GAGGGAGTAATGTTATGGACGCATTTATAGAAACTAAATAAAAGTTGAAATTAGTAAATATCGAATCATAATTAGTACTAAATCCTAACTAGTAAACATGAAATTTCTAATTAGTATTAAATTTCTAAATAACATATGATTTTTTATTAATATTAGATTACTAAATAATATACGATTTTTAATATTTTAATAGAGTATTACAAATTAGATTTAGATTCCTAATTAAATTAAAATTTCTAAATAAAAATTAAAACCTATATATAAAAGAGTATGATGGTTATTAATAAAGATGAGTCAGAATATTATTTTAAACTACAACATTAGAACTCTCTCTAACGAGATCCAAGGAAGCAGCTCTCTTTGATGAGCTGTAATCTATTTTCACAAAATAAGTCGCTCAAAAAAGTCCAATAAGGAGAAGCAGATTCTGAAACTGAAAATTTCGAAAAATTGGTTTGTGACAAGATCCTAATCTCGGGAACATAAGAGTTGCTTTATCGCTTGGGAGGCAAGCAAGGAATGTGTATTGACCATTAACATGCTAAAAAGGATGGGAAAGATTATGGCAAATTAGTATTGCTTGTGCAAAAAGGCAGAGGAGACATGTATTCACCTACTTCTTTGGTGTCTTGTTGCACATAGTTTGTGGTCTCTGGCTTATGATTTGTTGGGCATTAATTGGGTCATTGCTGGCACAGTGAAAGATGAACTTGGAGTAAGAAAAGTTTTTGAGTCTTATTCCATTAGCACTTTTCTGGCTTTTGTGGAAGGAAAGAAATAGAAAGGTTTTTGAAGGGGTGAATGAAAATATTGGTAAAATTCAAAAGAGATGGTTTTAGACCCTTGGTTTTTGTTTCTAGATCAACCATTGTACTATGGAGAAGATGTAGGAGAGGTGGTGGATATTCTTGCTAGACTGTAAATAATTTTGTAAATGAGTTACACCCTTTTGGTGTTTATACTAAATGACACATTTATACTTTTTATTTTAAAAAAAAAATCAATCATCAACTTGGTCAGACTCTTGTTGACAGGGTAAGATTACTTTCTTTGGTGAAGGACTGAGGATGCTAGACACTGCAATCCTTCAATAGCTGGAATTACTAGCATAAAGCACCAAAGGACAAGCTGCACCTTGAATGCATACATGTCTACAATGTGTGAGTGCGTGAGAAAGATATTGAGTTAGAAATCCCCCCGTCAGCCCCAACCCCCGCCCACGGCTTGTGAGCATGTCAAGACAACATGTTAGAATCTTGGACACTGCAAATTTGAGTTCTTGTCTGGTCATGAATCTGCATAATTTGTAGGCCCATGCAACATCATAGGTCCAGGATTTCTCTCAAGACCATTAAGAAATTTGTCAGTTCATGTAGGAATATTTTAGTGAATTAAGAAATTTACCAGATGCAATTTCTGTTTTTCTTGCATTTGGACAGCTCTGAGCAGATGAGCTAGATTGGCTCGGCAGTAATCAGGAGATAAAAATAAAGACTCCATCTCAAGGACCTGTACCAAAGAAAATTCCCCTAATCACAGCTTTATTAAAAACACAAGTATTGCAGGAATAAATTGAAATTAATGCCATGATTAGATGACAGACTTGTTTAGAGCAGTCACTAAATTCTAACGTGATCTCGCTGCAAAGCTGTTGGTATGCTGGCTCTTCACTCGAAATCATATACTGGGAAAAGCCACTGAGAGTTCATGGCAAAGAGAAGCATCAGAATTCTAATCAAATATTTAGGTGATAAAAGTGAAGCATAATGGTAAAATATTCAGGCAAATACATGAAGGCGAGGAGCATGAGAGCTCATATGAATTTCATACAGCAGCTCTTGTCCTCATCTAAAGATTTAATTACATCAGATCTCCAAGATCTTTAAGATTTTCTATTTACACCATTAAGAATCAAAGAATGCTTGAATTCTCATACATGTAGTCAGCTCCAAACTAGTATTTGGCTAGCACAGATCAGGTCGCAAAGTTGAAAGCATCAAGTCGCGAAGTTTCCAGTGTCTTGCTTCCTATCTTTTTCCCTCTTGTGATCTCTTCTTTTGTAAGCTTTCTTCCTCACTTCCACACTAGTCCAAAACTGCTTATCTTTTTACAACATTGAAGTCCCAAGGAATTAAGTTCACAATCTATTCAACCAGATCTAGATGCATTGAGGTAACATATCTAACCCACTTCATGAATCTTCTTCTACTCTTTCTATTTTAAAATTCTGATTTTCTTCTCTTTTCTTTTGTTCTCTATTGTTTTCTTTTTATGTTTTCTTCTCTAACCCATTCATTTGGTTGTTTTGCTTATGCCTTTTGTTAAGAGCTCTACTTATGCTTCATTATTTTAACTTTTTGGTACTTGTGAGGTGCGGCTTGGATCCTCTTTGTTTTCAATGGTCTGGATTTTGTTGATTGTTATCACGTCTAAATTTTTCTGATCTTGTTGTAAACTGGTATATTAAGAGATTTGATAGGTCATTAGTATTTCTTCCTTCTTAGAATTGCTTGCGGACTGCTAATAGTCTCTCTGTGTTTTCGAAAGCCTTGGTTATGTTATTTTTATACCTCTAATTCAGCATAAGCTTGTCAATTTGTGAAGATGAAGTTTATTGAAGTTATAGAATCTTAAAAAATACATTAAAAAATCAGTTTAAACCAAAACGAACTAAACTGAATTACTTGATTTGATTTTATTTTATTTTTAAGGTAAAATGGTTTGTTTTCGTTTGGTTTAAATTTTTTAGAAATTAAATTTAGTAGTAGTTTAGGTATGGGGTGTAAGCGAAACCAAACAACTCAATGGGGTGTAATAGTCATTGTAACCTTGCCTTGTTCTTAGCCATGACCTAATGGAAGCCATAATCATGTCAAAATCCAATGGCTTTGGTACCGCGTATCAGGATCTTAAGTCATTAACTCCTAAGGTCAATTATTGTTGAGAGAAGAGAACGAGAAGAGAAAAGGGAGGCCGAGAAGACGAAGAAGAAGAAGAAGAAAAGAGAGAGAGAGAGAGAGAGAGAGAGAGAGAGAGAGAGAGAGAGACTTTTCCATCAGTGGGATGGTAGGGGTTTGAATTTCTCTCTTGTAGACAAGGAAAGAAAGGATAGTAAAGGATAGAAACGTCTAGGTAATTGAATTGAAGCTCGACCAAAAAAAAGATTCGATTCTTATTCCAATCAAAAGACTGGCATGTTTTGAAGCATTCAGCATAGATGAGACATCATTCTCTTATTCATACTGATTATTCAACTTCAAATAAAAAAAATAATATCTGTAGATCCTTACTCTGTTTCAGCAAAATGAATAGAGAAAAGTCCTTTTATATGGAGAGAGGTCAAATCTAATCAATACGTAGCTCGCTTCGTTGAATACCATAAAGAAGAATAATGACTAGGATTGTACACTCTCACTCTCTTATACCCGCTCGCACGAACTGATTCATTCAACTCAATGTAGAAAGGATTTGGTTATACGGATGGGGTATCCTAACCTTTTTCGCTCTGGAGGAGAAGGAAAGAAACCATCTGCAGCTTCCACACCAACGCTAGTGCTGGTCCGAGTACTTGGATCTTCCTACGGTTATTTACCCAAAAAGAAGACTCGGGAGTCACTATAGACAAAAAAATAAATGATCCAGAGCAAGAAGAAAAAAGCAATAAATTAAGCGCTACCAGAAAGGCAGATTCCACTAAAGAGAAAAGAGATTTGTCCAAGGTACATATAAGTCCGGAGAAGAAGAATTCAAAACTCACCAGTCTTTCCCTATTAGGTACATACAGGAAGGTTCCAGGCCATGGAGTACAAAGGTTGACCCATCACAGAAAAACCTTGGGTCTAAAACCATCTCGCTCTAGTCCTATTAATATCCTCTTCCAGCCCATCAAACGTACTTCTATTTCTTCTTTCTATATCACCCAAAAGATTGCCAATGGAATGACGCCCAATTGTTTTCTCCTATCAGTAATACCCTTCCGTGTCCAAATTTAATCTATTACACTACCCATCATAACTCAACTATACCCCAAGATCCCATATTCCATTACCCATAAACTGATGCTACGAGAGAATAAAGAAGGATGTAGTCACAGGTCTCTTCCGCTCTCTTGGTACAACCAATGATTGGCAAAATATCTAGTGCAGGACAAATTAATAATAACTAATGACTATGTTAGCCGGCATAACTAACCACATCGTACAAACAACACTCAGCTAACAACCAAAACAACTACAAAGAAAAAAAACATGCATAGAAAAAACAAAACAACTCAAGGGAGGACAACAGAAATGAGTAAGCACATTTAGAGTAGCAACCTCAGGCTATTCATTTCTTTTGGCGAGTTCCTCAAAAAGTGAGTTAGGACACAAGAAAAGTTTTTAACACGGTCTAGTCATGTGCCCACTCCATCGAGTCACATTGAACTATGTCTTACAACTAAGGTATTTCTTTTATCTAGAGGAACAGGCGACTCAAAATAATAAGAATATTCCAATGCTTTATAAAAATAAAATAAATAAAAACCTCTACGCTCAAAGATAGGTTACAACAGCCTCTCTAAAAATGGCACACAACTCAACGCATATATCAATATGAAAAGGAAGCTCCCCATCTTTATGGGCACAACAAATTTGGAGAAAGGGACTTCAAAGGGAGATTTATATCACAATGTCACAAAAACTTCACATCAAGTTAGTTACTTCTTAGAAACTGTATAGATGCTTGGTAGGATTGATGCTTGAAAAGTTTGCAGTTGAATATTAAAATAACCAGAAAGGACCGTTCCGAGGTTTCCAAGTTACTGGGTCTCAGCATTTAACAAACAGACAAGTCCGATAGTTGAAAACAAGTACCTATCATAGTAAACAGCAGCCAATACAAATCCATCGGGTTAAGCAAATCTTACAAACCGAGATTTATCCTAAACCAGTTCAGCACTTCCCTGGCGTCAGGAAAGAACGATCAGAATATGCAGCGTTGGCCATCGTTTAATTCCTAATAAAACTTTTTAGTTTCAATTTCGATCTACGTTAACCACCAAATTGATCAATTCAGACCCTATCAAATGAAACTGTGAGCTATGAGATCGATATCATCTTTAAATGC